TTGGTTATAAAAAACCCCGTAAACACATACTTTCGCTTGGCCAACTCATATAACAACTTTCATAAATTTTTATCTTCTGAATGCAATAACTTTCCAAGTGCATGGCTAAATTTATAAGCTTCTTGGCATGTACTTCGGGAATTCGGCCATATTAATTTAGTTAAAATACGTATAAAATATTTAACATTAATTACCGTATTGTCACGAAATAAAACCAGTTCAAGCAGGGTTGTGAATAGACAGCCATTAGACACCATTAGACATATAAAAAACTATCAATAGGCATATATTTGTCTAATGACTTTTTCCCATTAGATCACAACCCTGGTTCAAGTATTTTTAGCAATGAATCCGTGTCTAGCTATTTAGCCCAACTGGTTTTAATATCAGTTTCGAAAATTTTGATTATTCAGTTTAAATTATGAGTTAAATTTGTGCAATTTTTAGTATGTCCATTTCCATTTTTCGGAATTATAATGATTCACCATCATTTACAGTAGGATAAACCAAAGTCCCGAAAGTTTTTTTTTTTTTTAACAAAGATCTCATATGTAAGAATAATTATTGAAGGTTTTGTATTGACGGATAAAATATATAAATATTAGCCCGTTTTACTGATAAAAAATAAAAAATAAAAAATAATGAACCTGAAATAAACCCGAAATGTATAGAGTGGAAGACATCGGTTGATCAGTTTGGCCTAATTAAGACTATAGAAACCAGACCAAACCAGACTTATAAGAGCACGCATTTGTGCGTAATAGCGAGCCGGGGCGTTAACTTGAAATTTGCCTTTTTCAATTTGTAAATTAGTTAAATTACCGAAATAACTTAATTAGCTGCTCGATACGAAAGTATCTGAGCAGCATTTTGTCTCGAATCGATCACGGGTGCTGCCAAGGGAAAACCTGTCATCAGGCTTTCAATTATATTTTGTGTACAGTTAGCCGTCTATGGAAATCTATCATTATTCCTAACTGTACCGTAAACTACCGTATACAAGACCCGGTCTAATTCATTTTAAACCCAATAATTAGACCCGTGGGTCTCTTGTATGAGTGTGGGTCTGATAATTGGGGTTATTTTATTTTATTGGTTTTTTCCTATTTGTATACCCCGGGTCTCTTACATTTTACCAAAGCTTTATCCCATGTTGTAGACCCGGGTATAGTACATAGGGTCTGATATCCGGGAGAGTCTTGTATACGGCAGTTTACGGTAATTGTAAGTCCGATGACAGGTTTTCCCTTGGCAGCACTCGTATTATCGTTATGATTTCGTTCGTGATTTATGATGTAATACGTGGTATTTGCGACTAAGGGAACAGGCTTTTTCCCAGATAAAGTAATATGTTTTTTCCGCTAACCCGACTTTGTCAGTTTTTTCGTCCACCCTAGCAATTGATTTGACAGTCTGCTTAGAAGTTAGGAGTTGATAGCCTGTCAGGACAACAGTCATTGCTTATTTGTCTTAGAGAAATTATGGCCTGTCAGATGACCGTCATAATTTGGGTTTTTAAAGTCTGTCGGGACGACAATTTTCTTGTTATATGGTAATCAGCGGTTTTTTTTCACCCTACCCGTAAAGTAGCTGCTGTAATAATATTAATGGTGAATAGTAGTATCATTCGTAGGTTGTCCATTAGATACTCAAACTCTGCACTGTTATAGGTGTATCACGAAAGTGGAAGAGACAGAATACCCATAATTGTTTTTCATCCTCCGATGTGACAAAATGTGTTTTCTAATAGTTTGAATTTAAAAACTCTGTTGCTAATTTAGTTATCATAATAGCATCATTCACGTGTTACAAGATTTTTTAAAAAATCGTATTCTTGCTCAAAGTAAGGCGCATGCACGCTTCAAAATACGGTATATAGGTGACTATTTAAAGAGGTTTGACTATATGAGTGCTGCCAAGGCAAAACCTATAAGCAAATATTTGAGGTGATATTACGTATTAAATCATTGTATAAAATTTGTATACAATGATTTAATACAGTAATACGTAATATTTTCCAGAATTAAACTCGCTTCATTGATACCTCAAACATTCGCTTACAGGTTTTGCCTTGGCAGTACTCATATATAAAACTTAACTATATATTGTATTCAAATAATCAAAAATATTATATATACAGTATAATAACATTGGTTAATACTGTATACCGTACGTATAACGATAATAACCGTTATTATACCTGGTATAATTGGTATAACATGGATTTAACCCAATAAAATTTAGTCATATTAATTAATAAAACCAACTGCTAACGCCAATCCGGATAAATTCATCATCCGTACGTATCTAATTATCTGAATAATTCAGAACGCTCAGATATCCGGATAAACGCTTAATGGATTGAAACTCTGATTTAAAGAACATAACAATCTCTTATAGATGCTAATACCAAGAACGTAATTACGAAGTTGTATGGTTATCAGACAACTTGTACGTACAAATCTGGATTATGATTGGATATTGGATAATGGTTAGACATATGGGATCTTTGCTAGGAAAATGACCCTACGAGCCATTGTTACACGAGATTTTTATTAAGAAAAACATAATAAATCTATTTTTAGAAAAAAAATCCTAGATATATACATAATAAAATTTATGTCATATGCATTTGATTTTTGTGTTCTGTGTCAATCACAATTTTCAATTGACACGTGTTATTTACCGATTGAAAAATACATCTTAAGAAAAACATAATACAGTAATCAAAAATATAATAATTTAACCATGAAACCACAAATATAACTTATAACTTTTGAGTATTGGGTCTTTTGACCGAATCTTGAAAATCTATGTTAACTAAAGGAAAAATAAACATTGATTAATAAAAGTCGATATAACAAGTTGTTTGAATATATATCTACATAATCCGAAGTTTAAACATTGGGTTTCAAAATTTTTTATACGAATATAGCTGAAGGGCTTTGTTTAATTAAGCAAGCTGGAAACAATTTAGGGGCACAAATTTGTCTCATTTGAAAAATTTATAAAACTTGGAAAAAAATTGGGTTATATCCCATAGCAGGTCGAAGAAGCAATTCACGAATGTAAAGTTTGTATCAATAGACAAGCTTTCAAAAAAAATAAAAAATAATAGAAATAACCATTATGCAATATATAATTTTTTTTTAAAAAAAAAGAATAAAACTACTAGAAAACTTATATGCTACGTTGATGAATTATTAATTTTGATAATGGATTTGAAATGTCCAGATGAAATGAAATATAGTATAAGTTACGTATCTCAAATTCTGGTGCACGTACTGAATCTGTGACAGGTTATGTCGATCACCGAATCGAAAGATATTAAGTGCAGATTTTAATTTACTTTATATTCGATATTTAGCTATACCCATATACCTAAAATTTCGTGCCAAAAACTTTTGTTTAGAAGTCAAACTACGGTTATCATAGTAAAGTCTTGAGTTATTTACGATTTTTCTGTTTTCTCAATGAGAAAACAGAAAAACCGTAAATAACTCAAGACTTTACTATGATAACCGTAACAAAAGTTTTTGGCACGAAATTTTAGGTATATGGGTATAGCTAAATATCGAATATAAATCTGCACTTAATATCTTTCGATTCGGTGATCGACATAACCTGTACGTGCAATTCTGGTTAGAGGTGACATATAACTGGGAGTGACATTTAGGTAAGTTACACATAAACCGCAGTACACAGATTTAAATTTGCGCGTATAATAGCGTTCTCCGTATATATAGCGTGCGTATAACTTTTACACCTATACATTAGTAGTGTTCCGCAAAATGGAACCGAATACCCAGAACCGAACCGAACCATGGCCCGGTTCCGGTTCGGTTCCGCTATTTTTCCCTGACAATTATGGTACGTTTAGTGATGTGAGTTGGTAGCTACCGGTAGATTTTTAATATACAGGGTAGATACCATTAGTTAAAAATCAAAGCCAATAGAATTCATCTATTTCTATATACTAATATTATAAACTATTATAGTATACATCATATTTTAAATTTATATGTTAAAATTTTAATTGCATCTAAATTAGATATTACCCGGGTTAATGCATTTAGATACATAGTAGCAGACAACCAAGTATATAGTAGATCAGATTGTGGATATACAGTAATCGATCTAAATATTTTATTCAAGTTGATGGTAAAGTCAACAGATCGAAAAGGAAGCAAAGCAGTGAAGCCTGGTATGCTAATACAGTAGATTCTCGCAATAGTCACATTCACAATAGTCACAATCTCGCTATAATCACATCAATTTTTTACTCTTATTATATATATTATATAAATTTTTACTCGTCTGATTTTAGCATGTGACTATTGCGAGAATCTACTGTAATCACATGAACGTTGTTATGATTAGAGGTGTTATTAGTAATTGATACATATATTACGATGTAATTGTCATGCATTCGTATTTTAAAAATTAAATCAAATATGAACTAATAAGCATGTAAGGTATAAAGTCTTATAAAACTTACTGTCTGTTCGAAGCATAAAATTATTTTTGCCTAATTGACCAATCAGAATTCGACTAGTAGATCTACCGGTAGTGGTAGCTACCGGTAGTTACCACCTACCGGTAGCTACCGGTAGAATTATGATATTTTGGGAAATTTCACATCCTAAATTTTATATAAGCTATATATATGACTAAAAATAAAACCCACTTATTCCTAACCCTAAAAAAATTGTATATACTATATAACGGAAATGGACCAAATTTTTAGAAAACTTCATATTTATATATACAGTCTACCCTCGTTAATATTGGTTTAAATTCATGTTGATAGTGATATTAATAAGGTATTATATTAAAGTTGAATTTGTAAATATTCATCTTTAAAATTAAATCATAATTCGGGTCAACCGGCCCAAAAATTTTTTATAATTCGGGCTGGATTTCAGCATGATCCAATTTCAACATAATCCACCACATTAAATGATTATGTCATGGCATAACATTATTATCAACCAATTTTATTAGATATTTCCGTCCTTTTCAAGTTTTTTCAATATAATATCAACTGACTGAATCAATCTCTCGACTCCGTCATTGATTTCATCTTCTGTAGCTATTAATGGTGGAATTAATCTCAAAGTCTCGTAAATCCCAGTAGTTAATAAAATAATATCATGCTTTTCAACTCCCGCTTTAGCTACTGCTGCAACAAACCCACGTGGTACACCTGTAAACTCTAGTCCAACCATCAGGCCTAAACCACGAATGTCTAATCCAATATGTGGAGGCAATATTGGTTTTAGCCGGGAATTAAGTAATGAAAATAGCTGAGATGACCTGTTGAAAAAAAGAGATGATCCGGTGAGAAAAAGATAATCATGATATCGTATACGTGTGGAAAATGAAAAAAAAATAGTACAGCTACCTATTATTGACGTTTTCTAATATTCTTTCTTCTTCAAATACTTCTAGCGTAGCTATTGCCGCCGCACATGATACAGCATTACCAGCATACGTTCCTCCCTAGTTAATTGGGCAGACGTACGATTATAACCAATAAATTTATCGTATACATATAGACAATCGAATATATACCATACTCCCCGGCGGTTGTGTATCCATCAATTCCTTTCTCGAAACAATACAACTCAGAGGGAATCCAGAAGCAATTCCTTTGGCCATCACCATAATGTCCGGTATAATACCAAAATGTTCAGTTGCAAACATTTTGCCAGTTCTCCCAAAGCCAGACTGAACTTCATCAAGAATTAGTAAAATATTATTCTTAGTGCAAATTTCCCTCAACTTCGGAAGAAAGCTCTTTGGAGGTGAAACATATCCTCCTTCTCCTAATACTGGTTCAACAATCACTGCCGCCGTCTCCTCTGGAGTAGTTTGTTGTTTTAGAAGAAGTTCAACTTGTTCAATTGGATTATCACAACAATTAATTATGTTATGTTTTTGTGGAACGGCGCGATGTACCGGACAAGTAAAGCAATATGGAAAGGGTGCAACATGAACTCCTGGCTAAGTTAATCAATTTCATTATTGAAATGAATGAATGCGTTTCAAGTAAATATTTAAATTTACCATAAATGGTCCGAAGCGTGCTCTGTAAATTGTCTTTGACGTAGTAAGCGACATCGTCCCGACGGTTCTTCCATGATACCCCCCTTGAATTACGATAATTTTCATAAATGACATAAATCACATGACACTTAATATAGCATGCATTTACCTTGAAATACGATTAAATTCTGCTTTTTTGTCGCGTGCCTCGCCAACTTTAATGCAGCTTCAACAGCTTCTGAACCAGAATTCCAGAAGAAAAACGAGTCAAGTTGAGTTGAAGGCATTACGGGTTTTAATTTTCCGATAAGGTCCAGCATTGGCTTATGAAAAGCGATATTGACCTATATATAAATTGTGACAGAATTCGCAACTTATACTTTATTAAAAAAAGAATAGCATTTATATCAGAATACATTGAGTTATATTCTCACTTGTGCATGATTCAATTTTGCGACTTGTTCTTGAGCGGCTTTTACGACCTTTGGATGGCAATGCCCTTGAATTTGCATTATTAACAAATTAAAAAAATTAAGTGCGTAGAACATAGACCATGGACCATAAACGAATGATGCAACTTTTTAATTTTCTAATATTTCATATTCCTTCAACTTTAGTGCAGTTGAATGCTCAAAATTACATAATATGAAGATAACTTTTTGTACACGTTTTTGTCAGGCAAAAAAAAAAGTTCTCACCTAAAGAAGTTACCCCTATACCTGACGAAAAATCTAAATATTTTTTTCCTTGAACGTCATATATATAAGAGCCTTTGGCTCGTTCAATGACCAAGTTAGTGCTCCGACTTATTCCACGTGAAATATGCTGTCTTCCAAATTCTGCAAGTTGTTTTGCCGACATGTCTTTTAAATATAAATTTCAGCTATACGTATTATATAACCTTTGACATTATTACAGTCGCTTCGTCTACCCAAACCTTTCGGCACCAAGTGAAACAAAAATACATTCATAATTTTATACTGATTTTATGATATCATAGTCTTGGGACTTTGTTACTGTTACCGTTAATGGTCTTGGACCGTTACAAAAATTCCAAACTAGTTTCGGATTTGACAAGTGGACAAAATTCAAATCTCGAATCAAGATCTTAACAGGTCAAGATTCCGATTAGGAATTGGAACCGTGAAAAATTATAGGGTAGTGACAAATATTACGTAATACGTATCTTGAGGGAGGGAGGTTTCAACCAATGATCGATGTATGAACGAACGAAGATATATAATATCACATGTAGTGCAGCACATTTTATTAGTAAGAAATGTATGAACGAACGAAGATATACGTATACTAGGAATTTTAAATATAGAATTACTACATATCACCAGTGGTGATCATCACCAGTCCTAAGATTTGTTTTTTTTATATAATATAATATAGAGCTACTATAAGGGCCGATCTCAGTTCTTGTGAGGTTTTTGGGATTTTTACTTAGAGTACCCGATCCCGTTTACTTAGTACGTTTTTGAGATATAGCAACACCGGCAGGGACCCGGAAAAGTTCGTACGTTGAAATGGAATTATTGTGAATTTAGAACTTGAAACTTATAATTTTTGAGACTTAAACATAAAAATAGGTTTGTTTAGTTCAGTTTAATATTTATTTAACATTACGTATTATAAAGATAATAAAATTATGCAAAGTTTTTAAATAACGCACTTTCATGTAACAGATTACTTACTGTATAATTTACATCAATTACATTGTATAAATAATTTTATTTTTTATTTTTTTTGAATATTTTATTTTACTACGTACTAAAAGTTTTAATATCTTTAATTTTTTGTATAAAATTTGATTAATTAAAAAGTTTTAATTTTTTTATTTGCTATAAACATTCAAAAAAAAAATTTTTTTTTATTCAATTTAAAATTTTCTTTTTGATATCTGAACCTCAAAGAGTACCTATTTTTATTTTGCAATGCATTTGAAGAGTTGCTTGAAAAATTTCTTGATAGCAAATTAGCTAGTAGGTGACATAAAACTTTTATTACATGTAAGGATTTTGATTTTTGTATTAGCATTTTACAAGACCCTACAAATACCAAAATTGGAAATGCAAAAGATCATTACTGGGCCAAGAAGACATTTGCTTTATGTAATCTTGAAACACCAATTAATCCCATATTGCAACTTATTAAAATTGATTCAAATCTACCTGTGTGCCCTGTTGACAAGCTATATGAAATATTGTGTAGTTTATATTAAGGGTCTTGAAGCATATTGGTTCAACAAAACTTTGAGATATAGTAAGTAATCTATTTGTTATTAAAATAAATATAATATAATATTAAATTAAATTTCTTTATAGATCTCTGAACAATATAGCTATATTTTACAATTCTTTGTCAAAGAGTTTGTAAAAAATTACACAACATGTACAATATGAAAAAATTTTTCTAATTCAGTAGCTACAAAGCTGATAATTTCTAGTGTTTTTTTCAACAAAGTTCAAGTAGATTTGATTGCTATGACTAGTATCTCTAATAGTGACTATCATTATATTTGACATATATGTGATTATTTTATACAGTATTCATAGACCCAAGCTTTAACCAGTAAATAACTAATTAAGGTAGCTGTTTTTTTTTTTGATATTTTTGTTTGCTTTAGTGTTCTAATTATTCTTTAGTCTAATAATGGTTATAAGTTTATAGCATAATTAATCTATGAATTATTAACTATGTGGCCTGATGTTCATATTATTAATGGCTATCCAAGACACCCACAAAGTCAGAGGCTTGTAGAACGTGCAAACAATATCCTTTAGCAAAAAGTATCCAAATAGATAGAAGATACTAAAAGGAAGGATTGGTCTTGTGCAGTGTCATTATACTGTTGTAAGTATTTTTTTTTTATAAAATACTATTTAAATAATTATTTATTTAAGCTTAATTTAATTTATTTAATTTAGGGATTATATATATGTACCTAAAGATACATATACCCATACCATGTGATCTATAGATCACTATTAAAATTCAAGATTAGGTATAGCATTATACAATTAGAAAATTCAAAACAAACATTGATTTTGACAAACATCACTTATTTTGTAAGAAATTATATACTAAACCACCTTTTGTGTATTAATAAAAAGTTTTTCTTGAGCATTTTACTATATAATAGTCTAAATTCTAAACCTAATATAGTTATTATCCTAACTCTAACCTAAACAATATCGGTATATCATATAATCAAAATAATAGGTACAAAAAAATTTAATGTACCCTACAAATATAACTATATTAATACTAAAATTATTTATATAACAAATAATTTAATCTATTTCTAGAATTTGATTATGAATTGTGCAAAGTTATTTTTAAAACTTTTTACAAAGTATTCACCTTCGCAACTTAAACTATCTAAGTTGTAATTGGTATTATCATATAATTGTAGCAATAAAGAAATATGATGTGATTAATGGATTTATAGCAAAAACTTATAAAACTTTGCATAAAGACTATGTAAAAAAACTATAAAGCTAGTAACAAACATGATGCAACTGAACAAATAATTCAAGCGGTTAGTATCAGTTACTAGTTAAAATTAAAAACTTTGATATATCGAATATGTATATTCCAAATATTATTAATATTATTATATGACTTTATGGATATACATATTCATGATAATGTTAAATAGTATATTAAGTAGTATTTGAATTATTTTAATTTTTTATTTATTTTTATTAATTCTATTTTAATATAGGTTTCTTGTAGTTCAACTATAAAATATTTATTTAAATGCAAAAAATCTGAAACAATTGTAGAATGTCATAAAAAAATTGCAATAAATAGTCTTTTGGGAACATTTTTATTAGAAACAGCTAACAATTTTTTTGCTTTTTACAAAGCAAAAAAAGATTTGGCTCCCAAAGCTTTACTAGCTTTTAATCAATTTTTTTCATCATTAAATAAATTCTTTAACTTGTTTAAAGATTTGACTGAAGATATATTAAATAGTATAGTTATACAAACATGGCTGAAAATAAAGATTATATAAAAGTATACAGTAAATTTTACAATAAACCAGTGTTTAGTAACATATCAATTAGTATAAATATAGAAGAAAGCAGAAATTACAATATCAATAATGGAATTTGTTATTGCAAGGTAAATTACTTAATTGCTAATTTGTTATAAGATACATGTAAATTTTTTTATATATATATAAATTATACTATATTTTTTTTAAATTCTTATGCTGATTACTATTACTATTGAAAATTACCTAATACAATTTGACTTCGCTCTTGTATAATAGTATGACTTTTACTTTAAGAATGACTATTGTTTATACAAATATAATTGTCTATTATTAAAACTTTTAAACGAATTTAATTTTATTCCTGTAGAATCTATTATTGAATTGGTGTATATAATTAAATGTGCAGAAAAGCAAAATAAATACTTTGTCAATATATATGTTTTAATAATATTCATAGTTTATTTATAATACAATTACTATAAAGCTACATATATAGGTTGCAATTATTAAAAAATACTAATATAAAACAGCATATTAATATAGCATTTACTTGTTATTTACAATTGTTAAATAATTGGATATTTACTGTTGTTATATCAGCGGATTTGTGGAATTTGATAAATAGAAAAACCCATGAGCCATAGTACTGGTCAAATTTGCAGGTTATTTGGCCAGCTTTGAAATTCTTTGACTTCAAAGCTGGCCAAATGATCTGCAAACTTGACCAGAGATATGGCTCATGGGTTTTTCTATTTATCAAATTCTACAAATCCGCCAATATGTTTAATATAGTGTTGTAAATTATTTAATAGTAAATGTTAAATAATAAAATATCTGGCCTATTTCTAGTATTGAACTATTTAAAAAAATCTTTACCAAGATCTTTACTAACCGACTCAATAAAATAATCTCTTCAAACAATCTTCTCTCAAATCTTAACTTTGCAGCATTCAAAAATCTCTCAATACATACTTCAATTCAAATACTTTACAATACAATCAAACACTACATCTCACATAATAAAGAAGCATGGATATTGTTTTAGAACATATCCAAAGCCTTTGATAAAATCAATATTAATCACCTACAAGATGCCTGTTGCAGAATTGGTATCTCAACTAATAGTATAAATCTAATTACTGAACTATATACCTCTTGCTTAGCCAAAGTAATCATTGTACATGGTCTTACATTACTAATTCACATCAAATCTGGCATAGAACAAGGAGAAACCTATTCTCTTCTTTTATAGAAAATCTATTATGATCTTATTTTTATATATATTTCTCAAAAATACAACAACTTCTTTCTTAAAATATCCACACTCTTTTCACTCGACATTATTTCTAATTTAAATTCTGCTTCTATTACCATTCTACCACTAGCCTATATGGACAATACTGTTTGGCACTGTAAACATCTTGAAGATCTACAAAATATTCTTATTAATGTCTCTTCTCTATACAAAATTAATAACATAGAAGTCAATTCAACCAAATCTAATCTACTTCATATCCTTTCTAAAAACTTAAAAACAGCAAGCTACTCTTTTACATTTGACAATCAAATAATTTCTTCTACAAAATCTATAGATATAATTAGATATCTTGGTATCTACTACAATGGTTCTGGTTCATCTAAACTAACTCTTGACATTAGAGATAGTATCAGCTTATAATAAGCTGGCTCAGCCATAGCTTTTGAGCCAAGCCATTAAGCCAGCTCGAGCTGGCTTGAAGCCGATGTGATAAAATCAAATTTGTCACATAATAAATTTAAGTTTATTACATTAACTCATATTTGTTATATAATAAATTCGATATATCACATTAATTCAATTTTATCACGT